AATTGTCATTGCCTTGAAAAATCTAGAATTTAGAGTTCTAATAATTATGATCAGTAATCTAAGAAGTTAATCACTGTCAGGAATGAACAATGGACTTGTTAGTCAACTGTCTGAAGGTGATACAAAAGTGATGTAAAAGCTGGAAATCAGTTGTTAACTCTACTAATGACTGAGATTGTTTACCTTAAGCAACAGTTTATGAGAGCTAAAATCCACCCCCCTCCTCCTTCATAAGCAATACTTCAGCTGAGTTGTTGAACTGGAAATTAATTTGATACCAATTTGTTCTAAGCTCATGCTTTAACGAGCTTATATATTTGTGTATTTAATTTGAAAGTACATTTAATAAATAATCTATTAAAAATAAATTGAGATTGAGTGTAAATGAGCTTGAAATTTCAGAGGTCAGTAATTAAAATTATTGTCACCATTTGGTTTTCAATTTTTTAACCAGTGTTTAGCTACTTAGAGCAGCATTTCACGTTCCTCTAAAATGGAGGAAATTCTGTAATGTATGTGACCCCAAAGATCTGTGACAGTCAAAACCCAGTGATTCTGGTTATCTTAAGCAGCTGAAATCCTAACAGCAGCTGCCAAACTTTCACTTTCTGCATCATCCTCCGCTTTGATGCCTGCCATGTGCCCAGGGCTAAAATCCCTGCCAGTGACGCCCAGCCTGGGAGGGTACTAGGATCCCCCTGATGCCCCAGAGCATTATGATCCAATTATATAACCCCCTCATAGTAAGAGAATTATCATGCTTCCCCTACAACCCAACTAAGAGTTATCTAGAGTGAGAGGACCCTGGAGCCATTCAAAGTATATGTCACACAGAAGCTAAGGAGGTGAACTGGTAGCAAGGTTTTTGCCCTCCCTGATGGCCTGGGTGGAAGCCTGATGCATCCTTTCCTAAGCCACATGCTTATTGAAGATGGCGGGTTCTCTGGGGGAGGAACAGGACACTGTGAGAGCTACACTCCTGCACCTGAATCTTCCAACCCAACAGAACTAACCCCACTCCTGAATGTCACTCCCCACCCCCAGCGCCCACTATCTTTGCACATGCTTTCCCTCTGTAGGCAAGTCCTCTCCTGCCGTGGCCCCTGCACACCTAGCCATTTCACTCTTCAGTGTTGCATGAAAGATCCAAAAAGGAGCCCACGGTACTTTCATTGTTTGCAATTGATATAATCAGCAACATAGAAAAAAGGTAAGCTACAAACTGATAAACTGATAGGATGGTGTGGCAAAAGTGCCCGATATAAGACCAACTTGCAAAATCAAAAGCTTTCCTTCACATGAAAAATAATTATATGTAAGACAAAATAGGAAAAAAAGATCCTATTTATGATAGCAGCAAATCTGTACAATACCTATGCATAAGCTTAACGAAAGTTTTCCAATAGCCACATGGAAAAAAAAATCTAAAACTAAAGGACATAAAAATGACCTTGTTAAAAGGAGAGGCCTGCTTACCATGTACAGAATAGAAAAACTGTTTATTGTGAAAATATAAGTTCTTCCCAAACTGACCTATACTTCAGTGTAATACAAACTGAGATCTCAATGGATTATTGTGTAGCCTAAAATTGGATTCTTTAATTCATCTGAAGAGAAAACGGGGAATGATAACCAAGAAACTTTTGAGAAAAGAATGGTGCCAAAAGAAAGCAATTTGGAGAAAGTCACCAAGACAATTCAATAGAAAAAAGAGTAGGTGTTTCAACAAATGGTTCTGGAACAACTAGCTGTCCACATGCCGAAGAATGAAGTTGGACTTGTACTTCAAGCTACATACAAAAATTAATTCAAGATGGTTAAAGATCTAAATATAATAGCTAAACCCATACAACTCTTTAAAAAAAGTATACGTGTAGATCTTTATGACCTTAGGTTAAGTAATGGTTTCTTAGATACGCCACCAGAAGCATAAGCAGCCAAAGAAAAAAATAGACAAGACCTCATCAAATAAAAAACTTTGAGCTTCAAAAGATACAATCAAGAAAGTAAAAGGGGCCAGTCCTGATGGCTCACGCCTGTAATCCCAGCACTTTGAGAGGCTGAAGCAGGCCGATCACTTGACGTCGGTAGTTCAAGACCAGCCTGGCCAGTATAGTGAAACTCCATCGCTACAAAAAAAAACAAAAAGTAGCTGGGTGTGATGGCCTGTGCCTGTAATGCCAGCTATTCCAGTGGCTGAGGCAGGAGAATCACTTGAACCTGGGACGCAGAGGTTGCGATGAGCCGAGATCACACCACTGTACTCCAGCCTAGGTGACAGAGCAAGGCTCTGTCTCAAAAAAAATAAAATTAAAATTAAAAAAAGAAAGTAAAAGGACAACTCACAAAATGGGAGAAAGTATCTATAAATCTTGTATCTAATAAGGGTCTAGTGCTGAAAATATATGAAGAACTCTTCTAACTCAACAATAAAAACACCAAAATCCAATTTACAAATAAGCAGAGGATTTGAGTAGATATTTCTTCAAGGAAGGTATAAAAATGGACAACAAGCACGTGAAAAGATGCCCAACATCATTAGTGATTAAGAAAATTAAAACAAAAACCACATTGAAATACCACCTTATATCCACTAGGATGGCTATAACGGAAAAGATAAACAACAACAAGCGTTGGTGAGTATGTGGGGAAATTAGAGCCCTCATCTAATGCTCACAGGAATGTAAAAGGGTTCAGCTGCTTGACAGACAGTTTGGCAGCACTTTAAAAAGTTCAACATTGAGTTTCCATATAACCAGCAACTTTACTTTTGGACCCATATGTCTTCATAGTACATATCCAAGAGAACTGAAAACACATCCTTACAAAAATGTGTACACATGTGTTCATGGTAACATTACTCATAATAGTCAAAAAGTAGAAACAACTCATGTGCTCGTCAACTGGATGAGCAAAATATGTTTTCATCCACACGGTAGAAGGTGATTCAGCCATAGAAAAGGAATGACATTCTAATGCATGCCTCAGTATGAATGAACTTGAAAACACCATGCTTAAGTGAAAGAAGCCAGTCACAAAAGGCACTTATTGTATGATTCCATTTCTATAAAATAACAGAACAGGCAAATCCGTAGAGATAGAAAGCAGGTTAATGGTTGCCAGAGATGGAGGAGCAGGGAATGGGAAGTGACTGCTAATGAATATGAGGTTTCTTTCTGAGGTGACAGAAAGGTTTTAGAATCAATTAGTGGTGATGAGTATATAATATTGTGAATATACAACAAAACTCACTGATTATATATGCTTTTAAAAGGTGAGTTTTATGGCATGTGAATTTCATCTTAATTTTAAAGGACAATGTACTCTACCTGATACCAAAATAGAGTATAGAGCAATAGTCATTGGCACAGTGTGGAATTGGCACGGAAATGGACAAATGGATGTCTGTTTCAGTGGGCTAGCACAAAGAGTACAAAAGTGGTGCCACAAACATATTGTGGGCCTTTGATATATGCCAAGGTAGCATGTCACATCACGGAGAAAAGGAAAAATGGCAGCAAAGCACAGCTGGCTCTCATTTGTAGGGGAAAGTTAGCATTGAACCTCACACTCCCACAAAAATTAATTCCAGATGGATTAAAGAGCTAATTTTAAGACTATAAAGATAGAAGAAAATAAAGAAGGACATATTTGTGATCCTGAAAACAGCCACCTTGAGCTATACAAAAAATGCATGAAGAGAGAGACAAATGCATTTAAATGGATATACATCGGAAACTCTGAACAAAAAATATCATAAGCAAAGTTAAAAGACATTTCCCATGTAATAACAGGCAGAGTGTTAATATCCTGAGTATATAAAGAACTTCTAAAATTAATATGAAAAAGCTCAACAGAATAATAAATGTCCCTGCAATCCCTTAACCCCATCACCCTCCTTTCATCGCCTTTTAGGTGATCTGAGAATTTTGTCATCTAGGTTGAGACCAAGAGATCATCTTAGCCCCTTTCCCGTGGTGGTGTCTGGTTTTCTTCATTGCTCAATTGCATCTGGTGCTTTTTCTTAGCAAAGTCAAGGTGGCTTTTGTTGGGCAGAACAACTGGACACTAAGCTCTGCCCTGGACAAAGTGCATGACTGTTGTCATGTGTGAAGGAGCCGTGCTCAAAGGAGGGTGCAGTGGAGACAAACTAAACCCTGAGAAGATACATGTACCTTTCTTTGCAGAGATCTGCACCCAGCTGGCATCCAGAGGACCTGGGTGAGGAGTACTGAGGATACTCAGCCACTTCTTGCCAGTCTGCCACTTAACTGGAGCTGCAGTGTACCTTTTGCTCAGTGATAAAATTAACCTTGATTCCGGACTGATATCTGTCTTCACTAAGGAAGTGTCTGTGCTGTGGTTTCTTTTTGTAAGCTGTGACATTATCAAAGGATAGAATATTACAGGCATGACACACGGGAACTTTTGACTTAGACTTAGAAGACCTTCCTATTTTTCTTTCCTGCTGAGATAGACTTTCAGCTCTCAACTGGGTAATTCAGTGAGGTCCCCTCCTTCCTTCTTCACCCCCACTTCCTCTCATCTGCTTTCCTGTTTTCATAAGCCACAGATTTAGGCCTTGTTTTATTACATTTCACAGTGTGCTTAGATACCCCCTACAGTTCTTCATCTCATTACAAAAGACAATTTACATGAGGGTAAAATGGCGATGTCAATGTGATTTGTTGTGCTGCTGGATTTTGTAAAACATTCTGTATCAGGGCTTTCCTGTAGGGTGTCAGAGAGACAAGAGTGAAACTAGGGTTCATTTAAAAACCCCTATTGGTAACCTCTAAGTAAATCAGATATTCCCGACATAGACCCTGTCTGGGTCATGTTGGGCTTTGCATTAAATATTAAGGCTGCATAATAACATTTTATGCAAAAGAAAATTCTATAGCTAAAAACAAGTGGAGAGGATTGGAGGCAGTTGATTTATTATAAGTGGGCAAAAATATGTTATAACTGAAATGGGATTCTCCCCTCCTCCCCTATAGGGTCACTGTTACTACCACGGACATGTACGGGGATATTCTGATTCAACCGTCAGTCTCAGCACCTGTTCTGGTCTCAGGTAAGTGGCCATGACCGTGGTGGCTCTAGTCTTCAGCCGTCTACTGCAGACAACCTCTGTCTTTTCCTGTTCATGCTAAAGCACTGAGAGTCAGTGATGGGGGCTCCCAGCTCAGCTGCACCTCCACCTGGGCAAGAGAACACGGAGGCCCTCGCTGCATTGCTTACGAGAGCATGGCCACCCAGGATCTCAGCCTCATGTTCATGCCCGCTCTTTCAGTGCTGTCCTCAGGCCTGGTGGGGTGAGAGTGACTGAACTGGTTGAATTTCAACATCCAAGCATTTTGTGAATTAGCTTCCATTTATGTGGCTCTGATGCTTTATAATTCCCAGTGCTAATGTTGAAGCTGCTGGCTTAATGTAAATCTTAAAGGGCCTCCCCTCATAAGGAAACAAAGTAAGGAAACTAATTTAACAACGCCCAAGGTGAGTTGAATATAGGCATGGATCGATAGGGAGTTTGCTACTGTGCTATGGGCATGATGCAGGAAGCGATTACCTCCCCATGCTAGACAAGTCAACCTCAGGTGTTACTCGCAGCCCCCTTCCTTCCACGTCAGAGTTATTAGCCATCAGGTGGCTCTTATGTGCTCCCCAGGAAAATCATTTTGTTTGATAAATTTCCAGCTGTTTCAGTCTTTTTACTGGATTTACTTGTTGAGTTTGTGAACTAAATGTTTGTATCCTCAGAGTCCTGGGTAACTTTGGCCCAAGGCACCAACACATGGTTCCATGGGAGGGAAGAAAGGCGGCCGTGGAAGGATGTACCTGCTTGAGTGAAAAAGCAGAATCACATTCTGCGTATCAGCAGTTCCTGTGATGTCTTTGCGGGTTCTGTGTGGGATCATGGAGGATGAGAATGTGCATGTGACACACCTAACAACAACACACCTACCAGTTTGTTCTTTGCTGCCCTCACTTCTGCTCCAGCCAGCAGAGAATGAGAGTTCCGTTTGCTCACATCTTCCCCATTGCTCAATACATCTGATTTATCTCTAAGTATTTACCAACATTGGTCCTTTCATGTACCTAAAAATATGTACACAAAGCTGTTCCTCTTCCTCCTTTATCCCATTCCAGTCCCACTCAGATAAAAATGCAAACTGGGAATTCCCCTCCCAGCTTTCTGATCCCTTGTGCATGTAAACACATAGTCAGAGATTGGGGTGTATATTTGTTTATTTTTACAAACATACAGTCATGTCATATACATTATTCTACAGCTTTCTTTTATCACCCGACCCCATCTGTCTCTCCAAGTCAGCAGATACAGACCCAAATCATTGAGCGAACACACACACTCACATGCACACACTCATTTCTGCATACCTGCATTTTTTAAAACCATTTTTATAACCTATTTATGCAACACAATTGAACTTTAAGATATTTGCTACTCTGAAAAGTGAAAGAGGTGCCTTGTGGTTTGAATTTGCTTCTCTCCAGTTATTCATTCATTCAGAAGACATTACTTGAGTGTTCCTCATTGCCAGTTCTGTTCCAGGTTCTGGGGACATAGCACTGAACAAAACATGTTCTTTCTGGAGCATTTCCTAGTGGAAGGAACAGACAATGGACATAGAGTAAGATACATGATGTCAAGGATCATGGAGAAAGACAAAGCTGAGATGGAGGACAGGAAAGGCAACAGGGAGTCAGGGAGGTTTGGGAGGAGGTGAGCCCTTTAGATGATGTAGGTGGCATATCAGACAGAAGAGCATGTGCAAAGTTCCTGAAGCAGAAAGATGCCTGGGATATTCCCAGAGCAGCAAGGTGGTCAGCATAACTGGAGAGGACAGGGACAGGGAGGCAGTAGAAAGAAATGAGGTCAGAAGAGAAGTGGAAAGGTAAGATCACCAGGGGTCACAAAGGTGGTCAGATGTCCTTTGGCCTCCCCACAATGATGGGTGCCAGGGGAGCTTGGAGCTGAAGTGATGCGATCTGACTTAACATTTTTACAGGGGCACTCCAGCTGCCAGGCTGGAAATAAGACTGTATAAGAAGTGCAGACTTGGGTAGGTGCCTTCACAGTAACTCTGGTAAGAGGTGGTGGGACAGGCCTAGTCAAAGGTGGCAACTTTTGTGAGACTCAAGAGACTTTTCCAAGGGTATTAGAGAGGCTGGTGACTCTAAATTTTTTTAGTGATCTGTGTCTTAGACTCACTTTCCTGAGGAAGTGTGGGGTGTGAGTACTTGAAAGGACCTACTGAAGATGCAACAAAATCTGCCACTTGGCAGGGACTCCAATATACGTGCACGCCCAGCATGTGGGGTGGGTGCTCAGGAGAAGGTGAAGGAGGAGAGTTTGGAAGTGACAATTTAGAGCAAAGATGCCAACTGTTCACCACCAAGGAGCTGAGGTACATGAGGGAGAAATTTTAAGTAACGAAGTATCAACCTGAGAGGCTGCAGGGGAGGTGATATCAGTGGAACCAGCCAGGATTCAGCTAGGGGAAGGAGGTAAGAGGAATATGCTGGAAGAGATTTGGATCAGGAGAGGATTTGAGGATGGATCATGAGCCCCAAGAGCACAGCGGGAAGGGTTAGGGAAAAGGGAGTGGGGATAGGGTCAGTAAAGGATTAAAGAGTTGTGAGGGATAAGGGGCCGGTTTTCATGGAAAACCAGTGCTTGAATTCCTGGAGGGGACAGAGATGAGCAGGGCTGGGGGTGAAATGGGGTCAGAGCTGGTGGCATCTGAGGTGAAGGTGAGTGACCAATTCAAAATGGGTACTCTGGGTAGATGTTCTCAGTCTAGAACATGATAGGGTGGTGAATTAGCTGTGGGACAATGGGCAGGTCACTGGGCCTCTCTGAGCCCCAGTTTGCATGGTGGGAAGTTTGCATGTTCAAACAAAGTTTGAGTTTGTTTCTCCCCTGTGATGAGTGCCAGGGGAGAAACGGTAAACAAATGCGGTGACCTCTAGGAAAGCCAAGCCCTGTGCCGGCCTCTAGTGAGCATCATGAGACTGTTGTTCTTTGATTCTGGAACTGGACTAGTTGGGGAGGTGTATTCATGCAGCACTCCTGGGATCATTCCTTGCAAAGCTTTGCTGTTCCTGTAGAGACCAGGGCAGAGACACACAAGGCCATGATAGTAAGGACCACACACACTTGGAAAGGGAAATCCACACTTTACTATTGTGCCTCTCTAGGGCCTGAAAGGTGGACCTCTTTCTTCAAAGGTCATGTGTTGAAAGCTGGAGATTTTCAGCCTTCAATTTGACATTAAGGTCAATGTGTGTAAAGAAGAAAAAAGCTGCCCAGGGGCATGGTGGCTCACGCCTGTAATCCCAGCACTTTGGGAGACCGAGGCAGGTGGATCACAAAGTCAGGAGTTCAATACCAGCCTGGTCAACATGGCGAGACCCCATCTTTACTAAAAATACAAAAATTAGCTAGGCGTGGTGGCATGCTCCTGTAGTCCCAGCTACTTGGGAGGCTGAGGCAGAGAATTGCTTGAACCTGGGAGGCAGGGGTTGCAGTGAGCCGAGATTGTGCTCGCTCCAGCCTGGAGACAGAGTGACACTCCGTCTAAAAAAAATAAAAACTCAAACTGACTTAAAGAAAAACAAAATAATGTGGAGATAGGCTTATGCTACTCAAAAGTCCAGTCATGGCTGGATCCAGCGTCCTAGCTAGTATTATCAGGGTCTATTTTCTATCTCAAGCCTCTACCACCTTCTGTGTTACTTTCATTCTCAGGCACTATCTTAGCATGGGCTGCCATAGCAAGATACCATAGACTAGTTGGCTCAAACCATAGAAATTTATTTCTCACAGTTCTTGAGCCTGGAAAGTCCAATGAGCTGACACGGTCAATTTTTCCTCCTGAGGACTCTTCTCTTGGCTTCCAGGCAGGCGTTAGCTTGCTGTGTGCTCACATGACCTCTCTTGGTGCATGTACAGAGGGAGGAAGCTCTGGTGTCCCTTATAAGGTCACGAATCCCATCATGGGGCTTCCCTCATGATCTCATCTAAGCCTAATCAGCTCCCAAAGGCCCCATCTCCTGATACCATCACATGGGGGTCAAGGCTCTAACATATGAATTTGCAGGGTATATAAACACTCAGTCCATAATAGGCAGTTTTTGTTTTGTTTTGTTGGCAGCATGAGGCTTCCATGTTCAAAAAGCAAGTAGAAGAATAAGGGCCTCTCTCCCAAGCTCAGTGGAGGTCATCTAAACACAACCCAGTGGCTCTGACTAGGCTACGGGCTCATCTGTGAAACAATCAGAGTGGCCAGTGTGGAGCTCAGTGGTCTGGTCAAACAGATTATGGGCCTATATCCTGGACCAGGTTGAGGGAAAACTGCACCCAGGACCCCCGAAGGAGGGAGCGGGGAAGGGGTGAATGTACCAAAGAAATGCAATGAGCTTTTGGCCAAAAAAAAAAAAAAAAAAGGACAACTGAGAGTCAGGGACACTCAGAAACAAATAGGCCTCTTCCAGCAACAATCATGAAGAAATTCTCGAACATCAAAACTGAGATCAGCCATCAGTGGAAACATCTAGCATTGGCCGGATAATTTTCAGGCTGTCTTTATAGGGCTATCAGATTCTTGATGGGCAAAGAGAAAAGGATTAACTACAAGGAGTTCCTAATAGCTCCTATTTACCTTAATAACACAACTTATAAACCAGTGACATTAACTCATTAGAGTGACAACTGGGGAAGGTATTCCTAGAGTAATATCCAAGCAAGACAAATCCTCCCATAGGGCTTGGCCTTGCCACTCAGTCACGACCCTCCATCCCTCTTCCCAGGCCGGCCCTGCAGTCACTCTGCAGTCACTCTTAGCTCTTTCAGCCTCCCACAAAGGTGCAGGGCAACTGTCAGGGTTGCCGGTTCCTTACACATCATGGTAATGACCTTGCTGGCCAGACTCTGCAGTGTCTGAGTCTCCACGTCCACCCCCCATCCCCAGGAGCAGGCACAGACCCATAATTTGGCAGAAAAGAATATTGTAAAAACCTTGCAGCTGGGATTTCAGGAAAAGTAAG